AAGTGGTTGTAAAGGCTGAGGGTTTTTTTAACCTTCATGCACCGTATGTATGAAGGTAAAAAAAAAAACCTACAGTATGTGCAGCAGCCCCCGTTAGCCCTCCCGCCCCCCCCCTTATGCTTACTTGAGCATCATCTGGATCCAGCAGTGTGCACAAAAAGTCCCGACAGTCCAGGGTCTCTCCCTCTTCATTGGCTGAGGCAACGATTGGCTCCCGCTACTGTCAATCACAGTCAGTGAGCAAATCAGGAGAGAGAGAGCGGGGGTGGTGCTGAGGCTGTGTGTGAATGGACACACAGAGCAGATCCCAGGATTAAACATGCTTGGGTGCCCCCATACAAAGCTGCTTGCTGCGGGGGCACTTTAGCAGGAGGGAGGGGCCCGCAGAGTCTGCAGGGGACCCAAGAAGAAGAGGATCAGGGCTGCTCTGCAAAAGTATTGAGACATTGGATTCAGGTGTTCCAATCACCTCCATGGCCACAGGTATATAAAATCAAGCACCGAGGCATGGAGACTGCTTCTACAAACATTTGGAAAGAATGGGTCACTCTCAGGAGCTCAGTGAATTCAAGCATGGTACCGTAATAGGTTGCCACCTGTGCAATAAGTCCATCCGTGAAATTTTCCTTGCTACTAAATATTCCACGGTCAACTGTTAGTGGTATTATAACAAAGTGGAAGCAATTAGGAACAACAGCAACTCAGCCACAAAGCGGTAGGCCACGTAAAATGACAGAGTGGGGTCAGCGCATACTGAAGTACAGAGTGCGCGGAAGTCACCAACTGTCTGCAGAATCAATAGCTAAAAACCTCCAAATTTCATGTGGCCTTCATATTAGCACAACAACAGTGCATAGAGAGCTTCATGGAATGGGTTTCCATGGATGAGCAGCTGCATCCAAATCTTACATGACCAAGTGCAATGCAAAGCATCGGATGCAGTGGTGTAAAAGCACACCGCCACTGTCTGGGTTTGGCGGTTGCCAGGAGAACGGTACTTGCCTGACTACATTGTGCCAATTAAAGTTTGGGGTATTATGGTGTGGGGTTGTTTTTCAGGGGTTGGGCTTGGTCCCTTAGTTCCAGTGAAGGAACTCTTAAGGCGTAAGCATGCGAAGACATTTTGGGCAATTTCATGCTCTCAACATTGTAGGAACAGTTTGAGGATGGCCCCTTCCTGTTCCAACATGATTGAGCACCAGTACACAAAGCAAGGTCCATAAAGACATGGATGAACAAGTTTGGGGTGGAGGAACTTGCTTGGCCTGACCTCAACCCGACAGAACACCTTTGGGATGAATTATACTGGAGACTGCGAGCCAGGCCTTCTCATCCGACATCAATGCCTGACCTCAAAAATGCACTTCTGGAAGAATGGTCAAACTTTCCCATAGACACATTCCTAAACCTTGTAGACAGCCTTCCAAGAAGAGTTGAAGCTGTTATAGCTGCAAAGGGTGGGCCAAGTCAATATTGAACCCTACGGACTAAGACTGGGATTACATTAAAGTTCATGTGCGCATGATATTTTTGGCAATATAGTTAGTGTGTGTGTGTGTATATATATATATATATATATATATATATATATATATATACACACACACACACACACAACATACAGTGGGGAAAATAATTATTTGATCCCCTGCAGATTTTGTACATTTGCCCACTTACAGATGAAGGGTCTATAATTTTTATCATATGTGCATTTTCAATGATAGAGACAGAAGATCAAACCATTAATTATGAAAAAAAAAATGTATGATACAAATGGTATAAATTGAGTTGAAGTTCAGTGAGTAAAATAAGTATTTGATCCCCAAGCAAAACATGACTTAGGACTTGTTGGAGAAACCCTTGTTGGCAAGCTCAGAGGCAAGACATTTCTTGTAGTTGGTTCCCAGGTTTACATCTCAGGAGAGTTTTTGATCCACTCTTCTTTACAGATCTTCTCTAAATTCTTAAGGTTTATTGGATGTCGCTTGGCAACTTGATGTTTCAGCTCCCTCCATAAATTTTCTAAAAGATTAAGATCTGGGGACTGGCTAGGCCACTCCACAACCTTAATGTGCTGCTTCTTGAGCCACTCCTTTGTTGCCTTGGCGGTATGTTTTGGGTCATTGTCATACTGGAAGACCCATCCACGACCCATCTTCAGTGTTCTGGCTGAGGGAAGAAGGTTCTCATCCTAGATTTTACAATACATGGCCCTGTCCATTGGCCTCTTAATGCGGCAAAGTCGGCCTGCACCTTTAGCAGAGAAACAGCCCCAAAGCTAGCAGAGAAACAGCCCCAAAGCATCATGTTTCCACCTGTGTGCATGACTGTAGGGATGATGTTCTTAGGGTCACAGTCAGCATTTTTCTTCCTTGACGAGTCGCGTTAATGTCAGATGAGACCAGATGGTCTCATTTGACCACAGCACTCTCTCCCTTCTCTGAATCATTTAGATGTTCATTGGCAAACTTCAGACAGGCCTGTGCATGTGCCTTCTTGAGGAGGAGGACCTTGCGGGTGCTGCAGGATTTCAATCTATGGCGGTATATTGTCTTAACAATGGCTTGTTTGGTGACTGTGGTCCCAACTGCCTTGAGATCATTCACAAGCTCCTCCTATGTAGTTCTGGGCTGATCCTGTATCTTTCTCATGATCATGCTTACCCCATGAGGTGAAATATTTCAGGAGCTCCAGACCGAGGGCATTGATGGTTATTTTATATTTCTTCCATTTGCGAAAAATTGCTCCAACAGTTGTCTCCTTCTCACCAAGCTTCTTGCTGATGGTCTTGTAGCCCATTTCAGCCTTGTGCAGGTCTACAATCTTGTCCTTGATGTCCTTTGACAGCTCCATGGTCTTGCTCATGGTGGTGAAGTTTGAATGGAATAAAGAAATTTTGTGGACAGATGTCTTTTGAACACACGAGTTGTCATTAGGAGAACCTTTTTAAAGGGACAGGGCTAATCTGTGTACTACATGAGCACATAGCCAGTCTGAGGGAGGCAAAATTATTGTTGGTTGGTAGGGGATCAAATACTTATTTTACTGCAACTCAATTTATAACATTTGTATCATGTGTTTTTTTCTGCATTTTTGGTTCATATTCTGTCTATCATTTAAAATACACCTATGATAACAATTACAGACCCTTAATTTCTTTGTAAGTGGGCAAACTTACAACATCTGCAAGGGAATAAATCATTTTTTCCCCACTGTATATTGCAATACATGTTTAAACTGGCCAACTGTATCAAAATAACCTCTCTAGGGCCAGTTCTACACTGCTCTGCAAATGCTGCTGTGGAAACAATACCAATATAGGGCAATATAGAGAAAGCTAGTAGGTTCAGGTCTGGCCAATGACCTGCAATGCAACAGAAATAAGAAATACCTGTGCTCAAATCCCAATATCTTGTACATGCATATAATTTATCAGGTGCTAAAGGAGTGTGACCACATGTTAACACTAGAAATTCTGGATGAACCCTCTGCACACTGCAATATAACCTTTCTAGCAAAATTTGCAATAAATCTATCATTTAAAATACACCTATGATAAACATTATAGACCCTTCCTTTTTCTCTGTAAGTGGGCAAACTTACAAAATCTGCAGTGGATCAAAAAATTATTTTCCCCACTTTATATATGTGCCGTTACAATCACTTTAATTGGTCAGAGAGCAGCAACTCTAAAAAGACTCAGGTGATTCTGTCAATCAGCACCAAAAATAGTTTCTAGTTGCAGCTCCAATACATAAATTAGGACCTTTACTATCAAACTAACAGCAGGTCACTGACAGTAACATACATTGGATCAGTAGAAAATTTCTAAATGAGCTTCTATAGTTCATAGAATTTCAAATGTAAAGCCTTTTGGGCCACTTCAGCACGAACGTTGTTCTGTATGGAACTAGTCATAAAGTAATTATAGATACTGGTACAGTAAATTTTCTTGGCCTAAAGGCGGGATTGTGTTATTGGCTAACTGCTCTTCTTGGAAGGCTGCACAAAGCTTGGAATGAAAATAACAGACATTCCTAGCAAAATGAGATTCACCTTTTGTTTTGAAATTTTCATAGATGGTATCACAGCAATCAGCTTTACCCCTCCGCTCCCTCCACGTCTCCCACCGCCCCACACCACATGCAGGAAGACATGCAGCCAACAACTGGCTCCTTGCACACAGTTCCTGCTGCTCCACACCTCCTGTGTGCAAGGCCCCAGGCTGTCAGATCCCCTTCTGTGGCAGGTATGTGTATTTCCTCATATTGGCCACAGGCTCCATTCCCCCAGGCACCAGGGTCTGGTGGGCACTGCTTGCTCTTCTTCCTGAACTGTGCCCCACTGAAGAGAAAGAGCTGCCCACGCACCTATGGTGGCTTAGCCAGACAGGAGCAAAGCCTGCTTTCAATTTTTCAGACTACTACTTTGCTGTGTCCTATTGCAGCCCTCCCAGGTACATAAATCTCCCAATGAACACCCGCATATTGGGTCCTGTATGATCTGTCTCTCTGTGCTCTCTCTCTCTCTCTCTCTCTCTCTCTCTCTCTCTCTCTCTGCTCTTAATTCATCACAGATGGTTATAATAAAACCAGACCCTATTATTAGCCAGTTTCATAAAGATCACAGCAGGACCTTCATCAGTAACTCAGAAGCAGGTATGGATCTACAATGAAGCTTGCTAAAACCCTTATAATAAGCGGCACCAAACAAAAGCATTGCACAAGGTTCAGGAGTACATAACACACAGGGTACAGTGCTAAGATGTGCTTATCACACAGGGCACAGAAAAAAAATCAGCACAGGTTGTTCACAGCTCACCTCTTCTCCCTCCATCCACAGTTCACCTTGTATCCCCCTGTTGACTGCTCACCTCTTCCTCCCCCATCCACAGCACACCTCTTCCTCCCCCGTCCACAGCACACCTCTTCCTCCCCCCCCCGTCCACAGCACACCTCTTCCTCCCCCTCCACAGTCCTCCCCCGTCCACAGCACACCTCTCACCCCCTGTCTTCTTCCCCCCATCCATAGCTCACCTCTGTTTCCTCCGTCCATAGCTTACTTCTTCTATTACTCAACTATGCACCCCTGTCCACAGTTCATCTTAGCAGCCCACCATCTGCCTATCTCTGCCTCCCTTCCACATTTCACTTCTGCACCCCAATCCACAGCTCTCACCTCTTCAATCCCCAATCTTTCTCTTCTAAATATCCTGCCAACCTTCCCCCCCACAGCTCTCACCTCTGCACAATACCCCAATCTCCCCACAGCTCTCACCTCTGCACAATACTCTAACTTCCCCACAACTGCTTCTCTGCGTACAACCGCCTTCCATCCCCTTCAATGTTCTCAGCTTGGCAAAAATACCCCCCCACCCCCACCGCTCTCATCAAAGCACAACTCCCCCCCTTTCCCAGCTCCAACCTATGCACAACACTCTAACCTCCCCACAACTGCTTCTCTGCGTACAACCACCTTCCATCCTCTTCAATGTTCTCAGCTTGGCAAAAATACCCCCACGCCCACAGCTCTCATCAAAGCACAACTCCCCCCCTTTCCCAGCTCCAACCACTAAACAAACCTCCCTCCTTCCCAGCTCCCGCCTCTGTAGAAATCCCCCCTTCTTGCCAGCTTAGCTCTCATCTCTGTACAGCTGCCCCCCCTTTCCCTTCACAGCACTTAACTCTTCATAAATCCCCCACCCTCCAGCTGGCACCTCTGCAATACTCCTCCAACCTTCCCACAGCTGCCTCTCTGCACAACTGCTGGCTCCTTTCCTCCACAGCTCTCTCACCAGTTCACAAAAGCTTCATAGGGGTGCAGCTGGCACTACTCTGTTAGCTGTGCACAGGTTTTTTTTTTCCACCTATCAGAACTGTAGCACAGAGCCAAGGAGGAGTTTCAGAGCACTTCACTCTGTGCAACATGCCTGACAGGTGGGAGTGGGGATAGAAACTGCCTCCTGAAGCACCAAAGAAATGAAAAAAAAAATGCGTTCAGCTGTGGCTTCAAGACTCAGGGCACTCACAAACATATGCCCCACCTTACCCATGCCTTGAGTGCCCAGAAATAGCACACCAGTAAAGGAAGTGAATAGTACAAAAACTTCCTCCACCTCCTTCTGTGTTTAGTGACAGGCTGGGGAGAACAGGGCTGCCAGAGGTGGCAGAACTTAAAAAAAAAGCCCTGGGTATATTACGGCTTACAGTAAACAGAATTCTAAGATAGCACAAAGGAAAAAAATAATAAGGAAGCTAAAATGAAGTACTTCTTTTAAATCTTAGAAAGACGTCATTCCTTTCAAAGTGACCTTATGCGAACAGTTAATACCAGACGTACAATTGAAATTCAGAGAAAATAGCACAGTCTGAGAGGAACATTATAAAATCAGGTTAAGTGCATCTTTGCTTATTTCATTCCTTAAGTGCACTCTCTACATCAGCTCATTCTATGTAAATCTGACATCGTAATCAATACATTTCAAGTACTGATATACAGAAAGATGTGGATTCTGAAAGTGAAGTCACCACACTGATATCTAACATTGGAAACTGCTATTTCCATTAGGGTTGATAAGTACGTCACATCAAAAACAAAAAAAAAGATCTTGTGTATAATAGCTGTTCATTAAAAGTAGATCCACTGAGCAGCAACATTATGTCATTGCTTTCCATTGTGAATAGTAATGTTCACTCAGGGTAGATGTAAGATTTCATTTTCAGTTTTGCATCTTGTACTGGGGGAAATTTCTTTATTGGTTTCATTTTGTCAATGGATTAAAGTCTAAGTTCACATTTTCCTGGAAAAGAATGGAATAACCAATGCAGTCAAGGGGCCTCAGTAGGTATTAAACTGCGCAGCTTTATAAAATGTTTGTTTATCTTATTGCCATTTGCCCCCCCCCCCCCCCCCCCTTGGTGGCCTGGCCGAAAAAACTCCCAGTTAGCAATTCCTACGTGCTGCCTTGTTGCTAGGAAGCAAAAACTATTGTTTTTCCCTCTAGTAAACACTTAAGTGGTGCATAAACTCATAGTGAGTGGGTCATGGGACGCACACAGCCACTATGCTGGTGTATCATGTTGGTACAGTTAGTCTGAATGCAAGCCCCTCACTTCAGACATGAACTGTAGTCATTTATAAAATGCCATGTATTTCTGCTGGACTATCATTTGATTCTGAAAATGTCATCCCCATGCTGTCTTATAATTGCTTTAGTTTTAGCCTAGGAATTGGTTCCTGCCAAGTTTTTTGGCTGTATATTGGTAACACAGTTGTGTGAGGAAGGAATTCAAGAAAACGTCATCTGTCCACTGAGTGTAACATCCCCATGGTTTGTACTGTAACATTGCCCTAGATAAGAGATGGGGCATGCCATTATTCAGTTGCTTTTTAAAGAGTTTTCAGGGTTGTCATTGTGATAATTGCTATTCTTGGTAAGATGTTGACCTGTAATAGGCATGGAGAACAAGAGTTGAGACTTAACCAGCTACTTTCTTTTTCAGGTCAGTAAACCACTAAGCATTAAAGCTAAAATCAGAATGATGTTCACTTTTTTTTTGTTACTGAATTTTATTAATGACTTGTCCACACAGGCAATAGAACAATGGCAGTGCGGTTTTTTTACAGTGCAAATCATAAAAACAGTATTTTTTTTTATGGCTCTTGCATATACCACAAGCAATATACTTAAACAAGCAAGATACACATAAGCAGGAAGATGAGAGAAATACAAGGAGAGGGAGAGGAGTGTTTCTCTCTGCTTAAGTCCTTGGTCACCAGTAGTAGTTATGACTCTTGTAAAGTAGGCCTATCCAGAGGTATTTCAGAAGGTATATGTTATAGCACATTCTAATGTAAAATAAGATCTGAGGCTCAGCCCAGCTGCGATTTACAGAAATCTAAGTATTTAATCTATAGCCAGCTCACCCAGGTTTCATAATAGTTTTCAGCTTTCTTTTTAATTGCTTCCATAAGTTGTATTTTGTCTATTCGCAATATGTGGCCACAGGTGGAGATCTATAGGTCCTCCAATATAACAGGATCAGATTCCTAGCTGCATACAGGCATCAATGATTTCTTGGGAATGAAGATGAGCATCACAGTGTTCACTTAACACACAGCATCAAATTTTTGCAGAAAGAAAATGTGCATTTATTATTTTATGTGAGTTTGCAAAGCATTGGAACTGCTATCAATGGATAGCAAGTCCAATGTTGGGCTCCTGCAGATTCCTCTGCCAGCTTTTTGCCCATACTGAGGTACAGGCTTTCAATTGGACAGCAGGAGGGAATGTAAATGGACTACAAGTGCAGTGGTCACTGCACTCTTGTCCACTGAGAACTACAAGTCCATCTGCTACAGTCGCAAATGGGACTTGTAGTTTATTCACTCATAGATTTTTGGCAATTTGTTGTGGGAGAGAACTCTCACACATTGCCAGGAGGTGGCTGGTTTATGGGTTAGGGTGCGCGTGGTGGCACCATGTTACACCCTAAATATTGGTGTAATACGGTGTTAAAGGTGGACTTAGTCTGTAAGTAGAAACTATGTATGATTCTTCTTTTACAAAAAATATCTTTTGTTATAGAACTTACCAGCATCCCTGTCTCTGATACAGTAGTCAGGTGAATTTTCAAAGTATACAAGATCATTGGTAGTAGGCTTCTTAAATCTCTTATTTGCCACTGTGAAGCCTGTTCCATCTTGATTCATAACAACTTGTATAGCCCCATTATATTTTTTACGAAGGAAATCTCCTGATTTTCGAAAATCCCCCATAGTTAGCCAGCATGTCCTTAAAGTACATGATCCACTTACTCCATGGCATTTGCATTCTTGTGTCATGAACCTCTTGACAGCCTACATCGCAAAGACAGAAGAATCAATCATCAATATACAGACCACAAACACTATCTTTATGATTGTACTAGTGTGTATCCAAATAAGTGGATGTCTGTAATAGAAAACATTAGTTTAAAAATATAATTCATGTTATGTACTGTATATTAAAATGAAACTATTCCCGCATGTTGCAGCTTCGGATAGGGACTGTTGATGAATAGCAATTTTCAAGTTGTACCACAAATGCTTGACTGAGCTATTCTGGGACAGTCAAGTTCTTGGTTTAAAATCACTACAATATAGCTTTGAATTTGTATTTATGGTCATTCTACTACTGGTAGGGGAACTCCTGTCCCAGGCCTGAGTTTTCAGCAGAGTGAAACTAATTTTACCCCAACTTTGCCATATTTGTAAAACATCTAAGTTATGAGGTTTGTTGGCTTTCTTCCACATGGAGCACTTTTTACTATATCCAAAAAAATGGTTTTTCATCTTATCAAATTGCAGAGGCTTTCCCTATAATTTTTCTGCATTTCCCACGTGTTTTGTCAAGTTTGAAAGGGAGTTCATTAGTGTTTTTTCATAAATGGTTGCCTTATCACTGATCCATAAATCTCATATTGGTGAAGTAGCCCAAATAGTTTCTTCCATCTCAGCTGTGAATCTCTGCCACTCTTACAATTGCCAGTGTCAGGACCTGGTTCACCTGCTGGTGGCACTGTGCTTCCCTGGGTGAAAAGCTGCAGTTTTGGTGTCCACCAGCAGGTGTCTCCCCAGCAGCTGGGGCCAATTGGAGCTGATTGCAGGAACCTGCTGGCTGCTATGAGACACTTTCTGGTGGACACCAGAAATTTATCTTTTCACCCAGGGAAACACAGTGCCATCAGCAGGTGAGCTTGGTCCTGACAGCCAGAGAACTCAACAGCACACAATTTAGTGAGCAGAAATAAACGTGAATGTCCTTGAAACTCATCTTAATCCCAACTCCTGCTTTTTTGTACTCCAGTGAGCTGCGGACCAAGTCATTCCTCACCCAACAGCTTATGTAAGCTGTGAAGCAAGGAATGACCCAGTCCGCAGCTCACTGGGAGAACAAAAAGCAGGAGTTTTGATTAGAAATGAGTTTGAAGGACACCCAAGTTATGTCATCCACTTTGCAAGATAAACCATTGCTTTAGACATATAGTAACCTTACTTGTTTATACCATGGTCATAAGCAACAAAACTGCTACATGCAGTAGACAAAGTAAATTTGTACCTTTCGTCCAGCTCTGTTGTTGTGAAGGTTCATCAAAGCTCTGGCATCTTTTCCTTTTCTTTCTTTTGCATCTACAAAAGCTCTAGCAAACTTGATACCATAGTCTATATTATCACTGCAGCCACCCCAGTCAAAGCTGCCTCTGATATCTTTAAAAGAACCTTTTTTATTAGGATCGCAAGAGCAGGACTTCAGCTCTCCTTGACTGCATGCCCTTGTAATAGCAAATACAACTCCAGCAGAAGAGATGGCATAAACAAAGGCCGATTCTCGGCTACCTGAAAATGACAAGAAAAAAGAACATTATGATTCACATGGAGTCTGTGTGTGGAGGTGGCCATAACAATATTATGATTATATTTTTTCCGAACAGCTTGAAATTTTATATAAAATATTAGTATTACCCTTAAATCACATTCAAATACTCACTCACATATGCCTGTCTTTTAAAGATATTAGCAAATTTACCTAGGGAAAAGTCAAAGAAAAGTTTTTATTTTTCTCATGCAGCCTATAGCAGTCAAAGGGAATACTAGACATAGGTGAACATTTAAGAGGAACTGTACTCAGGAAGTCGTGCCCAACAAAAGAAGAGGAAAAAGGACCAGTCAAAAGTATTGCCTGTGGTCTTCTTGCAAACTTCCCTCCCATTACTGACTTACCATGCCTTGTTTTACATGGAGTCTGTGTGTGGAGGTGGCCATCTTGGTGTCAAGCAGGTTTTGCTTCCTCATGGCAGAGCCTCCAGCAAGGAAAAAAAAGTGAGCAGCACAGTAGCGACATCACCAAATCTCACTCCAAATCCCCTACCTTAGAACTCACACTGCAGATATACAACTGAGGTTGTAGGCACATAAGTGCCTAGACGCTCCTATATACCAGAAAGTGTTCTGCTATTTTACCAGAGGAAGACAAAAAAGGTAATTTTTTTCAGGGTACTGCTTTGACACTATTAGTGTTTCAAAATGTTCCGTATAACATAGCAAAATTTCACATTTTTCAAGTCCATTTAAAGAAGTCTGCCATCAGAATACAGGCTATTGAAAAGGTTGTTTCCCCTAGGGAAGATGGTGATGTCTTTAAATTGCTTGGCAAATGTGAAATATATTGGATCTTCTACTTACAGACAAGGATCTGTAGAGATTTGAATTTTGACTGGGATATCACTAATTTTTATGAGTGATTATAGGTTTCCTCTGGCAGGCTATATAAAATATTATCTATTCAGGAATTATTATTATATTCGAGATATAATATATATTTTTGATAAGTTTAATAGCATGCTAGCTTAATTTTTGCTGTTCTGATGTTTTTAACAAGGCATTAGGCTTTTGTAGGATCCCTTGTGGCAGTTTATATTATTTCTTTTCTCTCCTTTTTTTCATTATTGATTTTTTGCATTTAACATGCAATACTTTGATTTTATTTTTTTTCACTCATTGTTTTCAGTCCCCGTTGCACCTGTGGATGCATGCCTCTGAATTTTCATTTCATTTTCAGTGTTGCTATACCACACATGAAGTTCCTTTTTTTTTTTTTAAATTTAAATATTTATTAATTTTTTCATATTATTACAAAAATCCATAAGAAGAGACACAATACATATAAATATCCATACATTTCTACTCTGTCCCTTCTATTTACCTCTTTTCTATTCCCTTCCCTCCCAACCCACCATTTCCCCCCTTCCCCCCCCCCCCTCCCCCTCTCTGCAAGATCTCCAATCTCTCTAGGCCCAGTAACTTCGAATAACTTCCTAGATTAGAGTTTTCTATATTTCTCTTTCAATCCCGATTTTTCCCATTTTTCCCATCGTGAGTAGTATATTTTTCATCCTATCTATCTTCCTGAATATGATAAGATTTTTCCATTCTGCTAATCTGGTTTACCCTATTGATCCAATCCTCCTCCGCTGGTATCTCTACCTTCCGCCAATACTTGGGGATCAACCCTTTTGCAGCACTTAAGTAGTACCATACACCTGATTCCTTATATTTATTTACTGTTGTCTCAACACTATGTAGGAGACAAATGGTTGGGTCTAATCCTATGTCATTTCCAGTTATTTTTTTCTATTAATTTGACTATTGTCTTCCAGTAAACCTGAATTTTTGGACATTGCCACCATATGTGAAACACCGTGCCCTCTTCCCCGCATCCTCTCCAACACATATTTGAATTCTCCCCCCTCATCCTGTGCTCAGTGCTCGGTGTAATATGCCATCGTGTCAAACATTTATAGTTAATCTCAACGTCTCTCATACTAACATTCTCGTGAACTAGTCTAAATATCTTATTCTGTTGATCTTCATCTATCACCACCTCCATATCTCTTTCCCAATTTGTTATAAAAATTAACTTTGTGTCTGTGTCTAGTTCTGTGAGTATTCTATACATTTTTGTAACTCCGTGTTTCCCATCTCTACGTGTTTCTAATAGCCTTTCAAACATGTTCCATTCCTTTTTTAATCTCAAGGGTTTTGGGAGAGTTCCTATAAAACATTTTAATTGATGATATTTCCACTCATCTATTTTAGTAAACATATCTCCTCCCATCTCTTTTAATTCTTTAAATGTTTCTCAATTCCCCCTCTACCAATACGTCCCTCAATTGGATATCTTCCTTTTTAATCCATCTCCCTGATATCTCATCTTTTCCCGGAGGAAGAATTCCGTGTTTGCAAGAGGCATTAATATAGAGTTGAATTCCCATTTCATGTGTTTATGTAAGTTGTCCCATATCCTTAAGACAATTAAAGTGTAGGTGCTTGTGCCCTCTTTGGTTCTTCTATAATGTGCTGGAACCCATATCATTTTGCTCAAATTAATTCCACTCAGATCATTCTCTATTTTTACCCAACTTTTCCCCTTATGATTAAAAGTCCAATCATAAATTCTTGCTAACATTACTGCTTTGTAGTATCTCTTGACATCAGGTAGTCCCATCCCCCCTTTCTCTTTAGTCCTACTTAGTGTTGCATATGACACTCTTGGTTTTTTATTCCTCCATATATATCTTGTTAACATTTTTCTCATTATCTTAAAAAACACCTCTGGGAGTTTGATCGGGATCATTTGAAATCTATAGAGTATTTTAGGTATAATTACCATTTTAATTAGGTTCATACGTCCTAACCATGATGGACTTCCTCCTTCTAATCTTTTTAGTTCGTCCTTAATCTCATTTATCAGAGAGATATAGTTTAAATCTATACAGTTGTTTATATGAGGTAGCGAGTTTTATGCCTAGGTATTTTATATCTTTTTCTCTCCAAATAAAGGGGAATTCTTTTTGTAGCCTTTCTTTTTCGCTCTTTGGTATATTAATGTTCAAAATCTCAGTTTTTGTTGGATTAATTTTTAGATTAGATTAGTTCCCCATATTCCTTCAGAATCTTCATTATATTTGGTAATGTTATTCGGGGGTTGCCTACATAAAACAGTAGGTCGTCCGCAAAGGCCGCTACTTTATGTTCTATATTTTCTATCTGGATTCCCTTTACCGCTCCACTATTTCTTATTATTGATAGCAGGGGTTCCAGTGTCAATACATACAGCAAGGGGGACAATGGACATCCTTGCCTTGTTCCATTGGACATCCCAATGGATTCCGACCTCTCCCCATTTACTGTGATGATTGCGGTGGGCTCCTTATATAGTTTACCTATCCATTCTCGCATTCTCTCTCCAAATCCCCAACCCTTCCAAGTTGTCTATCATAAAGCCCCAGTCCATTCTATCAAACGCCTTTTCGGCATCAATTGACAAGAGCACCACCGGGGCTTTCCCTTTTCTACTTTTCTGGATAAGCATCAGAGTTCTCAAGCCATTATCTCTACCCTCTCTCCCCTGGACAAAGCCCACCTGGTCTCCATGGATCCATTCGGGCATTAGATCTTTCAGCCTGTTTGCTAGGACCTTTGCGTACAACTTAGTATCTGTGTTTAATAGTGAAATTGGTCTGTAGCTAGAGCACTGAGAGGGATCTTTTCCCTCCTTGTGGATGAGAACTACATGGGCCTGAAGGGATTCCCTCCTCACCTCCATCCCGTCTCCCAAGTCATTCATATATTTCTTTAACTTTGGTAACAGTACTTCACTAAATTTTTTATAGTACTTAACAGTATAACCATCCGGGCCTGGGCTTGGGGGTTTTTTGGGGGGGGGTGGGGGGGGGGGGGGGGGGGGTATTTTCTGGTCTATCACCCCCATCTATATCTTTCACTTTGTTATTTTTTTCTTATGTATCCACTCCAATTCCAGGATTTCCTTTAAGAGTCCGCTAACCCTCTCTCTTCTTTCTTTTTTCTTCTTTGCTCCCATCGCAATCAGGATTCCTCTTATATATACCTTATGACTTTCCCATACTGTAGCTGTCGATACTTCCTCTGTTTCATTCTCCTGGAAATATACCTTAAATCTCTTCACTGATCCTCTGCACAATATCCTCATCAAAAAGAAGAGCCTCATTTAACCTCCATCCTAAACCTCCCTTCCACCTTTTTCCCCCATCCCATTTTCATTACAACTGGGGCGTGGTCCGAAAAAGTTCTTGTCTCTATTTCTATTTTAACCAGCATTTCAATGAGTTGATGATCTATTAAAATGTAATCCAGTCTCTCGAGTATATCTCGTGTGCATTAGAGAAGAAGGTATAGTCTCTGTCCTTCATATGCATTATTCTCCAGGTGTCCACCAGTTGGTACTCGTGGATCACCTTCCTCAAAGCTCTCAGGGACCTACCCCCTTCTCTCTGCACAAGGGAGGTTGCATCTATCTGTGGGTCCATACAGAGGTTTAAATCTCCTGCTATTATCAAACGCCCTTTTTTAAAATCTATCAATTTTTTTAAGCAGACCCTTCAGAAAGATCTCAGGTTTCTTGTTGGGGCAATATATATTGGCTAGTGTGCATTCAATTCCCTGTAGTTTACCTTTCAAAAACAGGAATCTCCCTTCCGGGTCAGTCCTTCTATCTTCCAACTCAAACCTCATATTTTTTGCCAATCCTATTGCCACCCCCTTTGCTCTTTTAATTGGAGAGTCAGCGTAATACCATGTAGGATAATATTTGGATTTTAGTTTCACATTAGATTCTATCTCAAAATGTGTCTCCTGCAAAAATACCACTGACGTTGCCCTATGATGTAGCTCTTTAAACAACTTGAATCTTTTCCCAGGGCAATTTAACCCATTCACATTATATGTTATAAACTGTATTTCTTCCATCCTTCTTGATTTTGTTTATCTCTCTTCTAATTCGTCTCCTCCTATTAGGC